ATAGCACCAAATGATAGTCATTTCATAGAGCCACAGGTTAGGAGGATCATACATACATACATACATACATACGTGTGTAGATACATGCACACATACATACATACATACATACACACACACATACATACATACATACATACATACATACATACACCTACCTACGTACATACATACATTGCATCACAGTCGGGTAGGGTACTGTGCAAACAACGCGGTGCGTTTCATTACTCGACATGGCTCTACATTACACTACACTCGTGCACACCACGTTGCATTACATGACATCGCGGATCAATACGTTGCATTGCGTGCACTGCGTCCATACATCATGCACACAAACACTCCCACAAACATACTTACTGCTGACAGGCAAGCATAGGAACAACATTTACACATTCTTTCATTTACACAAAACGTACATACATTGCACACAATCTTTCAAACATACCACCATATGGTTGAATTTCTACATTTGTCTGAAAGAAAGAAAGATTGATTGAATGAATGCAAACATGAATAACTATCCAGCTGACGTTCATCGTATCTTCGCACTTTCATCATGTCTCACATGGGCCTTACTTACACATTGCAGAAGCTTGAAGCAAACAAATGCGTGCTCCATACACATAAAGACACGCAGCCCTCAGTCGGCGTCACTGCTCTGGGATCCCCTTCCAATATGCAACGAAGTGTTGCTACTGGTCAGCCCATCATGAAATACCACACCTTTGGGCTTGCAGCATCCGGCATCTTCACTTCCTTCGACATCTTGCAGGAAACGCGCGCTGGCAGGAACCTCCGGAAACCTTGAAACGTCTCTTCGGAATGCGTTCTCTGCGTACGCCAGCGGAACGTTAAAATTGAAGCCACCCCCCAAAAAGTGCCATCGTGCAACAATAAAATCTTCAGCTGATAGTTTGTGCTTCTCCTGAGGTAGTGCGTCGCCGCTGGTTACAAGAGGGGTGCCATTCGGAAGCCATCGGGAACAAGTCTCATTGACACTTAGTTACTTAGCGCTTGGGAATTTGACGGTGAGTATTTGATGGTGACATATTCCGTGGATCAGGAGGATATAGAAGTGTTTTTTCTACTGCAACATCCCTCCAAAGTGAGAAACCTCCAACAGATCTCGTTTGCACATGTCCCTTGCCTTGACCACACAACATCCATTGCCGCTAGATCACCTCTTTCTGGTTCATGCGCCAAGCGCGGTCTGGAACTCTCAAGGTCCCGCAACAAAAAACGCAGTCGTGTGAGGTCTCATTGTCACTGATGAGTTCATCGATTTTTTAATGCTTTTTCCCTCATGCTGAGCCTCAAGCACCTGCCATCCTATTTGGGGGCCTCACCTAGTCTGTCAATGTCACCTGCCATCCTCCGTCACGACCCGCGACCTTCCGTCGGTCCATTTGGGCTCCGGTCGGCGGCGGCGTGTTCAACGCCGGTTGATCGGCCGGGTGTTGGGCTGGGTGGTTTGGCGGGTGATCTTCTGCAACATCGGCGTTCATTCCGGTTGAGACGACCAGGGGCGAGGATGGAGCTCCGGCACATCGGGTGTCCAATGCGCACGCGGCCATTTCTGGCTCTAGCAACACATGGGTGACCATTTTGAGAAAGCTAAGAACCATGGGTGACCCTGTGACCCTCCTGCAAGCTGGATACCCCTTAGGGGGGCTCTCGCACTGACCCAGAAGACTTGGGACAGCTTGTGCTCTGCGTTCAAGAAGTGTTATAAATTCATGCATCTCACAGAAGAAGACCTTGTTTGTGGGGACATTATTTCGAACAAACATTGACCATGCAGGTATGCTTCATGTCTTCAATGGCTTCACCTTCCAATGCGACCACTGAAATAGACGACTGAGTGGTGGATGCGGCCCAACAAGGATCTTAAAGCCTGTCGCAGTGCTTCAACGACCTGGGCATACTGGCTCGTATGTCGTTAAACACCGAACCTAAAGGTCGGAAGCTTATCTAGTTGCAAAAAGATACATAGAAGAGGTTACTGTACCACATTTTAGACCCTCTACTCCACCCAGGAGTAAGGTTGGCCTGGCAAATCGTTCAAGTTGACTTTTCGATGGATCACTAAACTGGACAAACAAAACATGCTGCTACCCTCGCTTTCACCGTGCTTCTGATAACCCTTTTGTCCTGTGCTGTGGTGTGTCGGGGAAAGGGACATGATGCCTACCACGATGTTTTGACAAAGAAACTTAGCAAAAATTGCGCTATATGTCTAATGTCTACACTGACCCCTGAAATCAACCAGCCCTGGCCTGATCGGTAGCCAGGCGGCCAGTCCCATAGATTGTTTATGTTGCGAGGACAGGACCCTATGAGGAGGTACAAGTATACTTCAGAGAAGGTGTTTGACGTGGGTTTGGAGGGTCCAAATACCTTCTGAGGAGGCACGACTGGAGGTGTAGGCTCTTCGTGTTCCCAATGCTGCGGTGCTCGTTATAACAACGTGCTGAAAAACCCGGACAAACGTGTGCAGCGTGGGAAGAGTCGACCCCGCAAAATCGCTTGAGAATTCCACACCCACATATGTTGGATGAATAATTGGATACCAAATCGATCTTGGATGCTGTTGGGTAAAGAAGCATCATGGCATCTCAAGGCACACCGGCCAACACGGTTGTTCAAAGACGACGAACGGGCGAATAACAGTCCGACACATGGCCCCCCCGCTCTTCCGTCGTTTGGGAGTGCACGCCTGTTGCCGAAGAGCGTCATGGTGACACCTCGCGGCACCAGGGCGAAGAAGCCCGCCGGCGAAGGCCGAATCGGGGGGGTGGTGGATTTCAGGGTCAATGGGGTGGCTTATAGATCAAATATCTTACCCTAATTACAGGTCAGTGTGACCTCAATCTTTTTCTAGAGTTGATCATACACAAACACTATACTCAATGATGTAGAAGACCAGGTTTGGACCTGGGTCGGACTGGACCTGTACGGTTGCAGTTTGCAGTCCGACCGGGGTATCTGGAATTGTTCAGCAGCTGTTCGTGTGTGTTCAGGCGTTGGTTGCTATGAAGGACTTGTCTCTTCTCCGTTGGTGCGTATTTGGTGGAGACCTGATGGAGTATACATAATATAATTCATACAAGTATATAGATGTTGTTTAATGTAATTTGTAGTGTAATTTGTACAATTGCGGAGCTGGTGGCTTAAATACCGCTAGAAGTACTCTTGGCAAACCCTTGCATTTTCTGCACCATGTGGGAATTGAGCCAAGGGCTTTGAAGGGTGGGATAGGTCCAGTGAGTACAGATTGAACACTTCTGGCCGGAGAAATCCAGCCTTTGGCTGGTAGATTAGGTGCTTGTGTAAGGCCCTTGAACCCTCACTAATTACTTGCCGGCACTCTGTGGTGAAGAACTGTGCATTAAAATAGGGAGACCTCCCAAAGACCCCTGGGAAGAAAACATCGAGCAGAAACTTTGAATCCTTCGATTGGGTGTCCCTGAGTGTCTCCCTATTCAACCCCACACTAATCTTTTCTTCACCAACCATCACCAACCAAACATGTTCAACCTTCCCAACAAGCCCCGCTTCAGTGCAGTTGTCAGGGGTCACCCGGGTCAGCTCTATTTCCGGTCCAACCAAAAACCCCCGGCGCTGGGTCCCCTCCTGCCGCTCCTCCACGCGGAAAGCGCCGGAATCGACGGCCCGCACCGACGCCCATGATGAGGCCACCGATGTGGGCGGCCAGGTCCATGAGGGGCATAAAGCTGAACCTGGGTCCCGCGCCGGTCGTCGAAAAGGGCCGTCGTGGTCGTGGTGGCCACCGCGTTTCGCCGCACCGTCACGGTGCGGGCGGCCATCCGCTCCAAGGCGCAAAGCTGAATTTGGGGGAGAGCAGCCATCTGACGTTGTGGGAAAGCAGCTCCTGGAACATTCTCTGCGATCGCGTTTTGTCGCAGTTCGATGATGTGCCTTCTTGATTCCTTTTGCATATTTCGAGAAGCCCTGTTTCCAAGTCATCACCTGTGAAGTCTGTGAAGAGCTTCTCTGCTGCTCTGCATCTCTTCTTCTGATCTCAGAAGGTTCTCTTCTGCCAAGTGGTCATGGGTTGCCAATGTGAGGCATGTCGGCAAATCAAATCGTGTCTTTTCTTGCTCATGCGTTGCTGCTCTTCAAGAGTGGTCCACAAAGATTTGAGATATGGACACCTGCCGCCAGGTCCACTTGCAAGCCAGCTCAAGGGTAGTGATACTTCCTGGACGAATTACACAAAAACAGAGGTCGCCTGTCCCTGCCCCTCTTGTTGAATCAGAAATCAGGACCAGATAGTTCATATTTGCCCCTTCTTACTTCTAGAAAGGGCAAGGCAAAGGTTGTCCTAGCAGCAAAGGCATCCAGAACGCAGTTAGCTGGAGTACTTGAAGCTCTTCTTGCACCAAGATTCAAGATACATATGATATGCTGGGGAAAAAATGCCAGTGTTGCAGTGTCCTTGATATGTTTGTTATATAATATATGTGTCTTCATGACGTATTATGATGTGTTCTTTCCATTCTTGATGATCCAATGATCCATGTGTTCTTTCTTTTGAAACTGAATGAAGCTGTTGGTTCACCACCTCCAAATATAAGATGGGCTTTACCTATCTTGATGTTGCTTGCACATAGGCTGAATCAATATGTTTGTACAAATTCAGAGGTTGTTCTTGCCATTCTATATAAGCACCCATGTTATTGTGTTCACAATGATACATGCTTCATATAAAATGGAACAGTTGATCTTAACACACCCCTTTTTAGATTAATTACTACATGTAGCAAAGGAAATTATTTCAAAACCATTTCTAGGATGATCTCAAAACCATGTCCAAGCTGAAAACAAGGCATCAGGCTGCCAGGTCTATTTCAGGCGAAGACAGCGCATTCCTTCAGTTCCATTGAGGACGCCGTGTCCGTCCCGCACCGCCTGGCGAGGCGAGTTCGGCCGAGGGCCCGAGCACCACCACTAGCACGATGGAGATCAAAATGGAGGTGGTCTGTGCCTTGGAGCGCTCTAGGTGAGCAGATGTTTCGAGCCCAGCTGATCCAGCAAAGGAAGGCCTGCTAGATGTTCCAAAGAAAGAATCACAGGGACAAAAACGGGACCCCTGGCTAGGGACATACCGCGGGTCTTGAAATCCGGTAAAGATTGAGGGGATTTAACTGAGACATGAGGCGACCGTGATCATGGCAACCACGTACCGGGTAGAAATGGCATCTACTCTCCCCTAAATACCAAAAAGATCGATGTAATCTAAACCAAGAAGATGCAAAAACCGCACCTATAAACTATTGGGGTCCTCTTTGCTCCAGGTCCACTTTACCCCAACCCTCAAAGCCTCTACACTGGCTTGGGGTGAACAAAGGCCCCGACATCTCTTGACCCACCTGTCTCACACATCTCGGGGTCAATCTTCCATCGCTCGCTGAAAACGGTCAAGCTGGCAGCGTCATCTCCATGATCTGGGCAAGCTGGCAGCTGGTAGCATGATCCGGATAAACCAGGCACCTGAATACCCAAACAGATCACCTGTGAGGGTTGCTTCAAGTGACTTTAGTATATAGATCACCAAAGACAAATCGTTTGACCCAAGTCAACAGATCACCCAAAACAGTTCCATCTTAGCCAAACAAATCACTGGACCAAAATGGAACTGTTTGCGCTGTTTGGGTCTTTATTTCTAGGGCATGGCCAGGCTGACCAGGACACCACCAGCGGCTGGACCAGTTTTGGGCGTCCGCGCATTTCTCATCTTCACGTCATTCCTGGCACCGGTCGTCGGTGCTGAGACAGAAGGCACCGACCGTGACCAGGCGGATTGGAGAACTGCCACGTGGACGGCCTGCTAAGGCAGGGTCCTTTCTTCACCTTGGTCCTACTATTCTGATACTCTTCTGGTAAACAACTGACTATACAAGTATATTTGATCTTACAATGTGTGAGTCAGGTGCTATTTTTTTTCCAAGCACCAACCTACACATATCTACTACAGCTCTTACTTGAAGGAGTCCCCCC